TCAAACTAAGGCCAGTCACCAAATATAAGACATACCTCAATTGCACAGATAGATGTAATCTGGGAAAATATGGTCATATTTAGTGATCAACCCATCTCCTGCTCAATAGATTTCTCTACCTGTAGTCACAATTTTTCTGCACTTGTTTGTATTCCTACATTGGAGAGAGTCATTTCAAGGGCAGACAGGCAGCACCCAGGGTCCCAGTGCTCACCAGTAACATCTCTTCACCTACTGCTCTTGCTTTCTCTTATTCTTTCTGTAAATTTTTCCTTGTTCATAACCATGGTGAGTCAAAAGGCTCAGGAGTTGGCAAACTGGTTCCTACAACTTCTTTAGAAAAGCTGTATATACCATCTGTCTATTACGTCTATCACCTGTCTTCTCATCTATCTATCTATCTATCTATCTATCTATCTATCTATCTATCCATCTATCCTGTATCTGTCCATCTATTTATCCTTATTTAATGGATTTGTATTTGACATAATTTTTCACAACCTTGATCAAAACAGAAGTAGGAAGAGTTTAACTTTAACTGATGTAAAGTCCTCTTAGTATTTCCTAGATCCATCTAACTGGTGTTTTCTCTATTACATAATTTGTCATTTGGATAATTTCAATAATTCTCCAAGGCATTCACTCTGTGATTAAGTGCTTGTATTGTGTCTTTTTAAAAAATATATTCCATTTTTTATTATTATTTTCCCGTACTTCTATCTTTGTGGTTTTATGCCCTTGATTTTTCACAATTTATTTAAATTTTCTCTTTTGCCATGTCATGTATCCACAGGAGTCCACTTACTGGATTTCATATGCTCTTTGATATGTATGTATGTATGTATGTATGTATGTATGTATGTATGTATGTATGCATGTATGTATGCATCATCAGCAGTGGAGTTTGAAGTACTTCCTTGGACATTACTGACAGAAAGTATGCCTCTGGTGAGGCACTTTAGTTAGTGTGGTTTGAAGCTGTCTTTATTATCATCTTCCATGGTGCCTTGCTGCAAGGAGATTCTGACTTATGTGTATTATCACTGGTCTCCATAATTTTTGATGAGAAGTCTCTTGTCTTTCAAATCTTTGCTTTCCTACTCTTTCTCTGTATCTGTTTGAACATGTTGTCTTCCATTTGGTCTTTGTGACTTTGACCATGTCACTGGAGGTGTAGTATTCTTTCATTTGTTCTGTTGGTATTTGCTTGGCTTTTTTAATTTATAGGGGAAGTTATTCTTTCAAAATATTTTTCTTGCACAGGTCTCCCTGACCAATTCCTTCTCCCTCTGCATTCACATATAAATTTGGTCTTCAACATTGTTCTATGAGTTTCTGTATCTGATAATTTTTCATATGGCTTTTGAATTTGTTTCCCCTTTTAATATTATTGAACAATTTCTATTGATGGGTGGATGCATCTGTAATATGTAACACTTTCATGTTAAAGATCACCAAGTCTTTTTATCATTTCCAATCCAGTGTTTAAAAAATTTGGGGTAACAGGGTTTGACTATGTAGAATAGACTGGCCTCAAATAGACTGGCCTAGAATGATGGGATTATGGGCATGTACTACCTGCTCATCTTGCTGTTAAGATCATCCATTGAAGTGTGAATTAAAAAAATGATATCACTTTTTAAAATTTTTATGTATCATAATTTCTATTTTGCTTTTGAGATTTGCTATCACTTTTTCTTATTGTGAGTATATTTTCTTCTTCTAAAATTTAACATGGTTGTATTTGTTGGCTCCAATATCCAGAGTTTCTCAAGGCTTTTCTCTATTACTTATTTTTTATGAGTTTTGGCTATACATTTTTATTTCTTTGTATGTTTAATATATATTTATTGTACCTAGACATTGAGAGTTAGTTACTGTCTCAGGACAAAAGAAACTTTATGGAAAATCTGCCTATAATCTCAGGTGGAAGTCTTTTTTCTACTTTTTTCAGACTTTACTATTTCTTAGTTTTTCTCATGCATATATAGTTCAAATACTGAACATTGCTGTGGGTAGATTTCTTACCTAGAATTTGGGCATTTCCTAGTCTGGCCATCTCCCTTCTGGGATTCATGCCTCCTTCATTTTCAGAATCCTTCTGTCTTTACAGCAGACTTTGAGACATTGTCATTTGATTTCCTCCCTCCCTCCCTCCCTCCCTCCCTCCCTCTCTCCCTCCCTCCCTCCCTCCCTCCCTCCCTCCCTCCCTCCCTCTCTCCCTCCCTCCCTCCCTCCTTCCCTCCCTCCCTTCCTTCCTTCCTTTCTTGCTGACTTGCAACACAACTTTCTGGTTAAGCTTTGGAAGGGTGCCATATGAAGCCACCTCAGGCAGAAGGCTTCTGCTTTCATTGAAGAACCTGTCCCAGGCACCAATCTTTTCTCTCAAGCATTGTAACCACCAACTATTTGCCTGCTGACATTCTGTTTTCAGTGTCTTTGTGTAGAACCTTCAGAAATACTTTGGAAATTACAGTTATTTGGGGGGGTGACGTGACCTATAATCAGAAACAGAATCGACTTGTATCCTAGATCTGAATAGAATTTCACCCCTGGAGGACTGTTTTCCCAAGGCATGGAATTCCCTCACACATTTCACACAAATCACCTCCAGTGATTTTTGACTGTTTCTTTGCAGTCTATCTTTTAGTGGCAGATATTTCTTCTAAATAACCATATTTTAAAAAGCCAAATATCATGGTAATTTTTCCATGTTTATTTTCTAAAGTGTCAGGAAATGTGTGTCCTAATCAGCCTAATACTTATACGAGACTCATATTAAATCTAAGCCATTGATGTGTTGTGCTGTTTTAGTAAGCCATTTTCTTTAATCCCTTGATGGGTTCTTCCATTAGAATTGTCCACAGAACTTCTCTGACAATCTTTCTCTCATATAGAACCTACACAAACCCCATGGCTTCTGGAATATAGAAGATGCACATTCCCCATTTTAAATAGCATGCCTGTGTATTTTCTTCCTTATATTACCTTGTCATTCCAGAGTTAACTTTAGAGATGTTAAGCAAGGATACTGTATTTATAGCTTTGGTATCCATCACCTACAAGAAGTCACTTTGCTCAAAATCATGTACAAAGTAGCTCTGTTTTGCTAATATTCAGAATTTTGTGCAAGAGTAGTGGCACCTGAGCCTTAATGATTTATGAGATTATCATGTGCTCTCAAATATTTGTATGTAATGTGTGACTTTAATCAATTGGTTTTCATGGCTGTATGGTTGTCACCTGATTCTGGGATAGAGTCAGCTCGAAAGTTGACCAGACTAGGCATCCAGGATGGCTCATTCACATGGAAGTGCCCAAATGAAGCATCCCCATGCTTTGCGGGGTTCTCAGAAGAAGTGCTCCAAAAGCAGAAGTTCCAAGACCCAGGAAGCACCCAATGGATGAAGAATCAACAGGAAGTGTCCTGAAACTGCCCAACCACGGTCTCCTGGCCAGGGGAAGGATTCATGCACTAATTAAGATGAACTCATATTTGGAGTTTTGAATTTAAAAATTGCATGAATTTTTGTACATATATTTCAAAGTAATATATGATAATTTTTGCTTCATTAACTCAACCAATTTGACTCTGATCTCAGTCCTATTTTTCTTCAGTTGTTTTGAGATAGGATATCCTAGGCTGGTCTCAAACTTACCATCCTTCTACCTCAGCCTCCTGTGCACTGGGATTACAAACATGTGCTACCACAGGTTGGCAACAACACTAATTTTGGAAAGAAAATAGAGAGATAAAAGAAAATCCAACCTGTCCAGATTTCTCTTATTAAGCAAACTACCACTTTTCTCCCTTTAGTCTCTCATTTTTCCCGACTTCCCACATAGTCTTTCTGGAATAATTGGGATGGCTTATGTGATATAAGTAGACCTTCTAATTGAATGTCAAGGAAGGCATTTCCTATTGACAAGGGGACCTCCAGCTTCATTGAGAAGCATTCAATTAGATGGAAAACAGATGCTTATTTTTGTCTTATAAACCTCAATGCAGGTTATGTGGTAATTACTTGAAGAGCAGGATAACAATTTATGTAATCAGCAGGACCCTATAATTACTAATGCATAATTTCTAAACAGCATTTAGCAAAATGAGACCCATACATACACTTTGTAATGGAAAAGATGCGTTTGACACCACACTAAATTAAATTTAAAATTTGCATATTTTCTTCCAGGAAACACACTGGCTTCATCTGCTCTATTTTGCTTGACTAATCTCTGCCTGCTTCCAGCTCCACTGAAGGATCATGGCAGCTGTGAGAGCTGTGACTAAGGGGACAGGAAGGAGGAACAAAGCAGGGCTTTCTCTGTAGTCCAGAATGTGGAGCATTATCCCAGGAAGATGCCAGGAAGACTGCTTCCTGGCAATTTCTGTCCCCTGGGGGTCTGACACGGGGTCATACAAAATTTAGAGTGTAAATGTTGGTAGGAAATTTAAAAATTATTTGCACTTATTTCTTTATTACCTATGGAAAAACTGAGGCCTGCAAAATGGCATGACTAGGACAACACCCAGGATCAGACAGTAAGAGGAGGAAAGCACCCACTCAATCTCGGATACTATTTTTTTTTTTGGTTTTTACGAGACAGGGTTTCTCTGTATTGTTTTGGAGGCTGTCGGTCCAGCCTGGCCTTGAACTCACAGAGATCTGCCTGCCTCTGCCTCCCGAGTGCTGGGATTAAAGGCATGCGCCACCACCGCCCAGCCAATCTCGGATACTAAACCTCTTCTACTACATACATCTCACAGATACTGTTCGACAAGCCACACATAATAGTCACAGGGATGGGGAGTATTTTCCTGAAAGGTATTTTAAAATTTACATGTGCATTTACACTGCAGCTCAGACAATACAGAAACGTATAGGAATCTCATGGAGATAATGAATCTCCATGCATTTTAACTGAACTAAGTATGAGCTGTTTTATTTTCTCTTAACGATCATTAATAAAATCATCCATATCCATTATTGAATTCTTACCTACAATTCCTGAAATCAGGTTAAGAGGGTTGCCAGTGTCTTCTTCAAAGCTTTGGACCTAAGACATCAAAATGCATCAATTTCACTAGAAATATTTCCATAAAAGATTCACTTCGTTTAATCAATAAACAATGATTATCCGCCGATAAGCTCATAGAGGGAAAGCATGAGTGGATGAACTCAAGTAGGTAATAAGCTCCTGGGAGGAGGTGGTGGGAGATGTCTGCAAGAAAGACTCAAGAATTAGATTCAGGGGATGGCAGAGCACTCCTGAGTGGGAGAATCAAGGCTCCTTTCTGCAAGTTGTGCATTAGAACTTTCTTTTGCCATGGAAGGATATTAAAGATAATTGAGAAAGCTAGCTAATTATGGCCTTATAAGCTTATGCTCAGTAATTCAGATAACCCAGCTGCTGCATAGATAGCACTTAGACACACACACACAAAATACCCAAATTTATTTCTAACTTAAGAGAGCAGAGTTTGTTTTGAAATATTTTGGAAATTAATGGATAATATTCTACAAATGATGACAAAGCTATTGGTAAAACTGAGCAGTAACTATTAACTTTAAAAAGTAATACAGCTCACTGTAGAAATGTATCACCCAGAAAACTCTTTGAAAGGTGAAAACAGTTACTGTCGACATTTTGGAGTGTTTGTAAGGTTTATGTTTTGCAAACTTTTTCTGGATATAGTTGTGAAGTCAAAAGTTTTCATTCAAGAGTTTGTCAAGAGTTTGGATGAGTGGCATCTTATACTCAGAGTTGATTAGACTAACAGCAGTCCTCCTGTTGGTTTTGATAGCTCAACCAATGAGCATCATAACATTCCCAAATGAAACGAAGAAGCTCTCTTCACATACCACTATCACAAAGAAAGTTCACTTAGTACAATGTAAAACACGATGTTTTTAACTAGAAAACAAAAAAAGGAAGAAAATGGTGGGTGCAACAATTTAAAATAAATATCAGGTATATCCCTGAGTTTCCTACCACATACAAGTCATGAGTTTTAAGAAATCGGTAACAATAAAGAATAAAGAAGCAGTTGGCACCCAGCAAAGATGACAACATATAATAATGTCGTTTGCCTCACATGTGCTTTCTGTAATGTGTCCAGTCATGAAAGAAGGAAAGGTACAGATTATTGATCATGATCATAAAGAAGCATAATGAGTTTCACAAGTATTAAATTCACTTAATAATCTTGGTAGCTTAAAAAGAAAGGAGCTGACTCAACCCTGCTTAGTAGAAGTAAACACAGAATGTGTTGCTCTTTGCATTAGAAATCTGTGTGTAATTTTTGTTGGAATTATTGTTTTGAGATTCAAGCCAAATATAGCCAAAAGCAACATTCAGCCAGCCTGAAGGGAAGTGTTATAGATTGACTTCAAAGGAAACTTTGGCCAACTATAGTTAAAATTCTGCTGGCCATATACTTATGTATATTGCTATCATTTAAATGCCTCAAAAATCTGTCAATTTCACACATATTTTTATTTCTTATAATTAAATTTTTAGATTTGCCATTCAAAAATAGAAGTTAAGCCCAGCATTGGCTCCTGTTTAATATGAAGTTCCGTAGGCTGCATTTACTCTTTCTTATGGCACTGGGGGAAATAAGCATTTTCCCAGTGCTAATATAATATTTTCCAAAAACTTTTTTCTGATTTCAGGGGTGGGTTTCTTTCATATTGTTTTAGGGTCATTTCTGCTTTATATGCATATGAAGCACTTCACATATACAAGAAAATGCTGAAGCTGGATATGAAGGTCTACAAAACATTCTAGTTTTCTTTTTTCACATTTATTCAGCATGTTTCTCTTTGAGCGCATGTATGTATCTGTGTGTCCATGTGTCCATTTGTGGAGGACAAACTGCAAAGGTTAGTTCTCTCCTTCCACTCTGTGAATTCTGGGGGTCAACCTCAGGTCTCCAGGCTCAGTGGCAAGTACCTTTATCTGGGGAGCCACCTCACCTGCTCAGTATTATAGTTTTCTACGGACACCATCTTGGACTAATGTAGAGTACTTCAGTGATATTTAGCTCAGGAAATATTTAATGAGAGCATTACTTTACTGTTCAAGTAACCCTTATAAGTACACATTCACCTTATAATATTAAATTGAATTTGAAATAATGCATAAAATTGCAAAAGTAGAAGAAAACAGATGTCTGGTAAAGTGTTATCACTTGACAAAACAATGACATTGTACGAAAGTATTGTTTTAATCTTGTAAAGGTTTCTTGTAAGGATTTCTATAAGGTATATGTATGTATGCACACATAAATATGTACTTATGTAGATACTAGGTTCATTGGTCTCTATGTAATGAAACATTTACATTTTAGGTGGCAGATGGTTACTATAGGTATCCTCCCCTGACTAAAACCCAGTTTTCTTTAAAGGCATAGTTAAGCTTTACTATCAATAAGTTCCTTAGTCTTCTCAGCCACTTAGCTACTTAATAATATGTTTTGTTGCTTCTTGGTTATCACAAAATACGTTTGCAGAAGTATATAAGGACCCATCTGTGGACCTGCCTCTGTTTCTCTCTGGCATTGCTTTGTGTGCCTATCTCTGTTATCACTGCTTTCAAAGCAGATTCTGTTATGACACACACACCCCTTTCTTGAGGTTTCTTATACTGGGGCTCTGAGAACACAGAGTGAAAATTGTTGGGACAACTACCACTGAATGGGAGTAATTGAACTGACCTCTCAAAGAAGGTGAATTGTGGATAGAAATTAGGTAAATCACACTCAGATACTTAATAAAAAATGGAAGGGAAAGCAAAGTAAAAAAATGACTCTTAGATTCAGTTGTGAATAAGGGAAAAAAGGTAGGTAGGTGTGGTGTTTGGCCGAGAATGACCCCAAAACACATTTGTTTGAATTCTTAGTCTCCCCTTATTGGAACTGCTTGGGAAGGATTAGGAGTTACAGCTTTGTTAGAGGAGGTGGGTCACTGTGGACAAGCTTTGAGGTTTCAAAAGTTTAAGCCATTCCCAATTAGCTCTCTCTGCATAGGGCTTGTGGATCAGGTAAGCTCATGTACCACCTGCCTACTGGCATGCTTGCTCCTTCCTATGATTATGGGTTTGCCCTCTGAAGTCATAAGCTTCTAAATAAACCGGTTTTCCTATAAGTTGCCTTGGTCATGGTGTCTTAGCACAGCAAAAGGAAAGTAAGACAATCTGAGAAGGCTGGTCTCATGCCAGTTTAGTTCTTCATGAAGCAATGACAGTAACTTCAAGTGTCTCAGACTAAACCATATTTGGAACTGTAAGATAAAATAGCAAAAGATTTGGATATCAAGTGCATCAGTGGTGGCAGGAAGGTAAGAAGATATGCCGGCATAGGCCTTTTCCAACGGGAGGCTGAGAGTTTGGTACCAGTACTTACCTCTTCCATTTCAAAGGAGTCTGCTCCTTTACTCACAACGTGAGACAAGCTCTTGAGTTTGTCCATGTGAATCCATTTCTCCTTCCATGTTTTCCTCCTACCTGGCCCCTCAGACACACTGGTATGGGGATACTGTTTTGCCAGTATGGAAGAGCAAGGCCGCTGCTTGTCCTGAAGAGTTTGTGAAGGAAGACAAGGGGATAAGTCATTGCAGGCTTGGACAGAACTATGCTCTACTGAAGGAGGTACTTGTCTTCTTCCATAATGGCTAATGGAAGCCACTTGTCTTTCCAGTCTATTCTCCCACTGTTTGGTTGGCAGAATAGAGATTTCATCCTCTGTCTTGAATGCTTCTGACAGTGCTGGGTTACCATCCCTACTGCTGTTCTGTCTTGAAGTTCTCCTTTTAAATCGACTCATTCCTCTGTGATGCTCTTTAGCTCCATGTGATGTGGGACTTTGCACATCCTGTCTTCCATCTTGCTTTTCATTTTGGCTCTGGGGGGTGTTAATATCATTCAACAAGGATGAGAAGGCATTGGTCACATGATCCAGGATTTCCAACTGTCGGAACCGGCCTGAAGAACATAGGAACACAAAAGTTTTAGTGAGGTTTCTTTTTCTATGATATTACTATAAAGCAGTAGAGACTGGTCCTGCTAAACAATAATCTCAGGCTCTCTATGACTCGGAGCACCAACGGGATATCTGAGAGGAGTTTTGGTGAGGACCCAGTGATGATGGTGTACCAGAAACCAGAGGCCTAGAACCAGACCAATGGCTCATTGCAATGATTATTTTGCTGGTGGGGCTGATTGCACAAAAGGAGTATCTTCCATGACACACTGCAGCTTCAGATGCCACTAGGATGAATGAAGAGGTGTTGAAAAGATGGAGGAACTAGGTGGGTTCTTTGCTTTGTTTTTAATTAATTTTGGGGGGCATAATGCAGAGGTGAAGGGCAAATATGGAGGAGTTGGGAAGTAAAGGAGATTGGGGTGCATTATGCGAAATTTCCAAAGAATCAATAAAGAATTATGTTTAAACTTTTTTTAAAGTTATTAAAAAGGATTATATTGTTTTCAATCATTCAGGAAGCAAACAATGTTTAATGAGGAATCCCATTTGCTTTCATACCTAATCATATTCTAAATTTGTTAGTCTTTCTTCATAATATAGCTACAATATTTTAATAATCCAGCAATATATGAAAGTATTGGCCAAATTATCACTATAGAGGGACCTCAAGAAGTAACAGACAATTTAGGTATATGATGTCAGTTTGTAAAACACAGTGAATTTTAAAATTTTGGTATATTGATATAATAAAACCATGGTGATGGAAAAGCAAGGAGTTTTGTTTTGTAGTACAGCTTTATCAAAACCCTGATGAAAACTTAAAAATTAAAGGGCTCAACAATGCTAAAAGCTCATATAGCTGGGCAAAGACACTCCATTAGTCATATTTTCTTCCATGATGACCAAATACTTGAGAGACAAACTTGAAGAACAAGGAAGAAAGGTGATTGATTTTCATTCGTGTTTTCAGAGGATCCAGTTGATCACAGTGAGGAAGATGTGGCAGAGTATGACAGTTTACCTCGTGATAGCCGATAAAGGGAGGAGAGAGACCATGCATGCCTGAGTTAGTGTGATTTTTTTCCATATTTTAAAATTGATTTAGCTCTTTCACTATTCCACTTAATAGTATATTTAATGCATTCTGGTTACTTTCTCCCTCTGGACTCTGGTTACTCCCACTTTTACCTTTTTCTCATTCTTATCAACTATCCCTTGGCCCATCTCTACCAGCCCCTTCCCCAAGACTCGTAACTCTTGGTTTGCTTAGATTAACTAGGGCATGTATGTGAGCATTGGAAGGGAGCCTTGAGGAGTCGCCAGGGGCTATGCAACTGAAGGCATTCCCTCTTCCTGAATAGATCAGTAGCAAAGCGTAGGTCCTTTGAACCTCTCTTCCATCCACACCTGAATGCTCATGGGTTCATTCTTATGCAGACCCAGCCAGGGCAGGCATCTTAAGCAGTTACAAGTTCAAGGCTACAATGACCCTGCATTGTTCAAGAGATGGCATTTTGCAGGCTCTCTCCCTATTTTCCCTCTCTTACAGTATTTCCATACTCTCTTGGGTAATGTTCCATGAGCTTCATAGAAAATGTTATGAGTATTTTATTCAGAGCTGAGCATTTATTCTCAGCACCCTGTGCAGCCAAGATTTTTTCTGTATTCATTACCACTCTCTAGAAAGCAAGGTTTCTCTACTGAAGGCTGGGAGTAAGATTCACTGATGAGTATAAACATGAATATCTGGAAGTTATTTTACTCTCTGTATTCTATTTAAGCACCAAGACTGTGGGATGATGCTACTCACATTCAGCATAGTCTCCCCACCACTTTCATAGTTATTCCTCGCTGGAAGCATACAGACATACCCAGAAGTATGCTTTGCTGAGTTCTTGTTTCTCAATGTAGTTAAATTAACAATCAAAGTTAACCACCACAAGTCCATCCCTTGTTAACTTGACACCCAAAATACCTCCCATTAGATTATAGCATTCCACTTCTGACTGTCAAAAGACTCATGAATGACTCGTGTAAAAATGTGTCTGTTCATCTCCAGGAGTTTTTATACTCTTAACTGTGTGGGCAGCTCAAAACTGCCAGTTCAAAGTCTCCTCTGAATAGTGAGACTGTGTAAAATCAAAATTTGATTATATACCTCTGAAACATGGTGAACTAGAATAAATATTCCTATTTCTAAGGGGAGAGATGGAATTATAGAAGAAACGAATGGGGACAAAACAAGTCTGAAGCCCAACAAGACAGACATTAAACCTGTGGCTCCATGTCCACCATCCAGGGCACAGACTGACATTCTGTGAACCCCAGTGAACTGGTAATGTGTGACTGCTTTGGCTTCATTTTTTCTAGACCATGTGGTTCCTCTCTTGATCTGGCTCTGCTCATTTCCATGGCAGATGTTCCATATTGCTGGGATTTCTAACTTCCGGGGTTCACTTTTCTGTCTTTGGCTTCCCTCTCATAGCTACATACAAATACTGTCATCTCAGGAACTACATCTAGAGAGTGTAACTTCAAACCACCTGACACCCCAGGCTTTACTTGGATTTTTACATACTGCGTGCTTACAGACCAGCATCATGAACTGGGTGAGGTGGCATACACCTTTAACTGCAACACTTATGAGGCAGAGGCAGGCAGATCTCTGCATTTGAGGTCAGCTTGGTCTACACAGTGAGTTCCAGGACAGCCAGAACTATATAGTGAGACCCTGTCTCAAAACAAACAAACAGCATCATATTGATAAAGACAAGGTCTACTGATATCTCAAGCAGCAGCTAGATCTGCTTGAACTCAAGACACCTATGAGTGCCCAGATTACTTTCCTAAGTAATTTTGTGTGAGCATGTTCCCCAAAACTCTTCTCCTAGTCTTTAAAATAAATTCAAATATTTCTAATAAGCCTGTGATTAATGATTCCTCAACAAATTCATTTATATCTTTTGTATGTGTATGAACATGCTTTTTCATATGCATGTTCTCATGTGTGCATTCAGGTGCATATGCACACAGGTTTATGTGTATGTGGTAGCTTATTGTTGATATAAAATACCTTTCTTGATCACTTTCTCTCCAATACATTGGTGTAGGGTTCTTTGCTGAACCTGGAAGTCACTATTTGGATGTGTGTATCTACCCAGCTTGCTGCAAGGCATCATATTTCTGCTTTCTGAGGCTGGAATTATAGACATTCTGTCATGCCTACTTGACATTTACATGGCAACCACTTTAACCTGTAAGGTGTCTCTCCAGCTCTCACCCAGACTTTTTCCATGAGTTTTGGGGATCCAACCTCCAGGCAACACACTTTCCTAGAAAGTGCTTTACCCTCATCTCTGGGCCAGGTTTAAGGTGCCTTTAATATGTATTTTCTACTATTTTGATGCAAAGTACTTGGTTTCTTCTAACAGCCTTGGCTTGTCTCAGCAGTCATGATCACCAGGCCATGTGTTTTTCTGATCAAATTAACTTTTCAAATGCTTTCTATTAACATTTTGCTCCGTTTTTATAATAAATTATGCTAGAAGCAAGTAACAACAACCATAGTACAGCATCATATTGCTCTACTTTGAAATTTCCTCTACCATGCTATTTAGTCCATCATCGGTTACTTCAGCCTCTCTTCAAATCTCTTGGAACAAAGTGTATAAAAGTTTTGCCATTATACTGTAGAAATGGCAGTCCATTGAGCATTCCCTGAACATACTCTGTGCTCATCCATTTGTTTGTTTTTTTAATCTTAAAGGAGACACTATCAGCCAATCATCCTACTGCTTCTAAAGACCTGGTGGATTTTTCACAGAGGGCAGTGAAATTCTTTTAAGACCTTTAGAGGGATTCTAGGGTTTGGGATGTTTCCAGATAATTCTGATTGCATTGGCCCCCTTTGTTAAGCTTGTATGAACTATCATCTATTTGATGAGCTTAGGGACACAACTGCTTTTATGATTGCCTTCTGTCCATCTCATAGCAAGTTTTTGTACCTAGACTAAGACAAAACCTACCAATTTAACTGGTTCAGTCTAGTCAGAGAACAACTGTCTGGAGCATGTGTGAGTGTTTTGTGTCAGCCTGTGGTCAGGTTAAATAACTGATTCTTACCCTGGGTCTGAATCTTCTGCATCAACTTTGAATGAGGCATTCTTTTCAATTCTGTCTTGAGCAGCCAGCTAACTTACCTCTTGCTTAGTTTACACTTGACTTCCTTAGCTTAGCACTGAAGAAAAAGTGCACTTGTGTTATGCAGGAGAAATAAAAGCGAGGCAGCCACACCAGGACCAAAGGCCCAGCCTTGTCTCCTCTATAACCAATGTTTCAATTTCATTTGTGAAATGTTTGCCTTATAGATGAACTAAAACACTACATAAATATCATTAAGTCAGGATATTTTCTAGAAATAGAAATTTGGTCAAAGAACTGCCACTTCTGGAAGGAGGATAACCGTAGTAACTCCTTTTAGAAGTAAAAAGAATGTACCAAAACAACTTCAGGATTACATACTTTAAAAAAAACTCACTGCTGAGATTTGTGAACCATTTCAGAGTATGTGTGTGTGAGTGTGTGTGTGTGTGTGTGAGAGAGAGAGAGAGAAGAAGAAGAAGAAGAAGAAGAAGAAGAAGAAGAAGAAGAAGAAGAAGGAGGAGGAGGAGGAGGAGGAGGAAGAGGAGGAGGAGGAGGAGGAGGAGGAACTAAACTGAGATATCCAGGAGAAGTCTCTTCCTGATTATTGAAAAAATTTTTCCTCTTTGTTGACTTACTTCAGAAGCAGAATTTTGCTATTTTTCCCATAAAAATTTTCTCAAACTCTGTCATATGTTTCATGGAAGTATCCCATGTTAATCCAAGAGGGGTTCCAGATTTAAGTGAGTTAGAACATGTTATCTAGCTTACCACTAGGAGACTGATGACTGTCCATCAACCTGGTGGTAAATAAAGTGTTTAAGCTACAAGGTTTCTTTCTCCTAAGGTATTTGCTCATGTGCCAGTTCTTCAGGAGGATCTGCTGTTATTCCACTGACCTTGGGCTGGGGAAACATGGCAAGTACAAACTGTCTGTAAGGACTAAGTATAGTTAACTCACACTTCAGCCCAAGTGAGTAGCTACCATCTGCATCTAAAGGCATAGGCAGTAGTAGTCTAAGCAGCCTCTGGTGGAGAAGGTTTCACTTAAGGCTTCATGATGAGCAGGCTGATCTGTCCCCTGGGGTGTAGCTAGAGGAGATATTGGAGTACCAGTGAGATTTTTTTCACCTTTGGACTTACACAAGATTTCACATTCCACTGCCTTGGAGTTTATGACTTGTTTTGACCAAAGATGTCTGAGAAGACCTGTGTTGAGTATACATTCCCATTCCCATCTATACTCTGTTATTACAACTAGTGATGCTCCAGATTGTAGTAGGGGCAGGGCAAATCCTTCAGTGACACTGGAGCAAATCAGTTTTCCTTTCAAATATACATACCAAACCATGGTAGACATAAAGAGAGATCAAGAGGTCAGTATTTTCTGTTTTAAGCCACTTGGTGTAGCCTATCCTGTCAAATACTGTGGCCCTTCCCGGTACTCAGTGCCAGGCACTGAGATACGGCGCCCACAGGCTCCTACTTACCATACAAATCAGGGTTCTCCAAGTCCATCCTCTGCTTCTGTGCTTCAAGAAAGACACGGATGTTAATTCCTCTGGCTGCCGAGCTGCAACCAAGGAATCTGTCTGGGATTTGTGTGCAGATATCTGGCTCATCAGCACCAAACCCTAGATCCAAGAGAATCTCCACTGGATCTTTTTCCCAAAATTGCAGCCATTCAGGAATGCTGAGATAAAACATAAGAATATCTTTATCTATGAGAGACCTTATAACAAGAAGCCATTTTTTCTACTCACCCAGTCTTCCCAAATTTGACTGGAAGAGGATCTTGAACAGACAAACAGATGGCAAGTTCACAAGAACTCACCCAGCTCACTTAAAAGACAGTCAGCCACTCCACCTAGGGACACTTGTCGGGGTTTTACAAACAAAACCATGAGTCTTTCCATCTGGCTTCCCTTTCCCAGTGGGCAAGTATTAAATTGGACAGGGCAGGAAGACTGTGGAGTGGAAGTCATAGGTAGTGCACTGACAATTACCTCGAAACAATACAAAAGAGGAAATAGAAAGCAACAATTAAAATCAGAATGGAAACTCAAAGAAGAGTATTTTTTAAAGCATCAGTCTGTAGACGGAGTTTCTGTCCTTCCTGGTCCCACAGCCGCTTAGTCCCAAATAAACACACTGAGGTTTATATTATAAACTGGCCAATGGCTTGGGCTTCTTATTGGCTAGCTCTCTCTTAATTATTAACCACTTTTTACTAAGCCATGTATTGCCACGAGGTTGTGGCTTACCCGTAATGCTCGACATGTTACTCCTTTAGCAGCTCTGTGACGTCTCCCTCTGGAGACTGCTTTTCTGCCTTTCCCCTTCCCAGAACTCTCCCAGTCTGGTAGCCCTGCCTATACTTCCTGCCTGACTAATGGTCATTCAGAGTTTATTCATCAACCAAGAAGAGAAACATATTCACAGCATGAAGAAGGCCATTCCCCATCATCAGTTTGGGGCATCCTTAGCTGTCAAAGATATTACTGAATGTACACTATAGGATCAATGTTTCCAAATAACACTTTCAAGTCCCTAGGTAGAATTAGAATATGTTCTGGTGTTTGCTTGTTTGTTTGTATTTCTGTCTTGATTTGACTGAGAAACGAGAAATCCTTTTGTCAAAATGTTCTTGTCTGTGTTGGCACAGAAACTAAGAATGAATTATCTAGGAGTTTGATGTATACCGACTCACTCTCACTCAAAAATTTCTGATGTCTGAACTTTCAAATGTCATGGACTCCATGGGTACTGGAATATCTCATAAGGCTGTAGCAGGCTTTCTTGCCTCGTCATTAAGGTTTCTGATCGCTTTACTTCTGATGCTACTCTCATGAGCTTATTTGAGACACTTTAGATAATGCTCTCTCCAGAGCTTCAGTCTCATCAGTCCCGTGGGCAAGCCCTCTTCCCTGATCACACCAGTATCATGTTCACAATTTCTGATGTCACTTGCAGATTTGTTGATTCACTTCTGAGCCAATCAGGGAAGTAAAGCAGATTAGGCCCCTCATTGAGGGATCTAAATGCCTTGGTTGGGATACCTTAATCATTAAAATGATCTTGAAAGTTGCAGTGACAATCAGTTGATTGTATGCCATGAGCAAAATGGTATAAAGAAGGCTCAAAAAAGAAATGAGTTTGGAGAAAGTTCTAAATTCCACATGAAATTTTAATTTATTGCCTATTGATGTGACTGTATAAATCTTTATTCAGTCCATTTTTACTAATCTTTATAGAACATCTGTGGTGTTGTAAGTTCTGAGGCTATGACACAAAGTTAACGAAGACTGAATTCCAAAGGGTACAATGTCATGACCACAAATATGATTATTGACTGACTTGTCATTCAACATATTATAAAATCATGACAAAATATTATTAGTTTGTAACACATGTAACTGCACAAGAAATAAATAGAATGAATTCACCTTTTATAAGGCAAAATATTGCATGTAACCCCTTCCCACTAAGTCTATAGGTCTTTCCAGATCTTTTTCTCTGTGTGTATACACAGTTGTAAAATTTAACTGCCTGGCTAGTCAATAATAATGTGGTCTCCATACCTTTATGCAGCTTGCAGCTTTACCTTAAAATATGACCCAATGATAATTCTAACAGGCAAAACTGCATTCTATATACATCTTGTTTTGTCAATCAATGAAATTCCAGCAAGTGTATCGTCTAACCATTTGCTGGATATTTCCTAGTGACACATACTTAACCTCCTTTCCAATTTCACTGCCTCTTTTGATATGTTCACCCTCTCCTTCATTAACTGAACCAATATCTCTCAAGTACAGATTTATAATTCCATGAATCCAATTGTTGAGCAGAATCATGTATCTGGATGAAAGTGCCAGGAATACACATACCTTTGTGGTACACCTGTGGAGGAATAGCAAGAGTTGAAACTAGTCCCTCTGGACAAGGTAGGTGTCTCTGAAAACTGGTGCAGAGATCTAGAATGTAAGGGGAACAAAGATGGGTCACATTAACTTAGATTCTCCTCAAAGGTCCTTGAGAGGATTTGCATTCCAGAGCAAGCATTTGTGTTTCCTCTTGTTTCTAATAAGCCCACAGTGGCCACGCCTTGGAAGGAGGCAGTGTGTGCAACAGAGGGGTACTCTTCCTTTCCAAGCATTGTTATAGAAGGTGTGAGAATTTAAGTGTTAGGTGCCTGAAAGTGCTTATTATAAAGGTGACAGAATGTCTCACTCTTGACAGATGGTAAATCATTGGGGGACCTTTCGGAAACACAGTTTTACTAGGTTCCAACTTGAGGGAAGAAGTTAATATTGTGTGATGAAAGACATGTAGCACACAACCACTGGAGGTACTCCGTGTAATTTCTCACAATGAAGAAGGGTTTCAGAGCTCATGGCTAGCAGTCTAAACCTGTGTCCCTAGAGCTCCTGTGACCAACCCTATGCAATAGTAATGAAGTCCCTTACTATGCAAAACAAGGAGAATCACCATATCTGGTACTCCTGTATTATAAAACATTTTAAAGCATTTCTGAAGAAAATTGAACTGTATTATAATACGGTTCTGTTTTTATGTAGCTCAGGTATATCATGGATCATATTAGACAGTTGGCATACAATTAAAATTTATCAAACAACACTCTGCAGATGTCAATGTTCCCAAAGAGACGAGGTTACTAAACTTGAGTTGCTAAATTTGTTTTAGTCCTGTCCATACTGAATAAGAACATCTGGACTCTGCCTTTCTGCTTAATTGTTTCTTTTCATTAAAGGGGAGAAAGAACATGTTCTTGAATAATAAGAATTCTAGTTTCAAATGACCGTAGATCTTAAGGAAAGGGAAAACTACATTCTTTTATTTATTGCCTTGTGTACTGGTTAGGTTTTTTTTTTTCGTTTTGGTTGGTTGTTGTTTTGTTTATTTGTTTGTTTTCAAATTGTCACACAAACTAGAGACACCTGTGGGGGAAAAAACATGATTGGGAATTGCCTCCATCAAATTGGCTTGTGGGAGTATCTGTAGGGCATTTTTCTTGGTGGAGAAAAGCCCAGTTTAATATGGATGTACCCATCCATAGGTAGGTGGACCTGGGCTGCACAGGAAAGGTAGCTAAGCAAGACACACTCCTGCTCTGTGGTCTTTGTTTCAGTCCCTAACTCCAGGCTTCTGCCTTGAGTTCCTGCCCTGGCTTCTCTCAGTGAAGGACTATAACCTGTAAGTCAGACAAACCCTTTCCTGCTTCAAGTTGCTTTTGATCAGTTACCGCCCCCCCAGCATCAGAGAGGCATACTGACATAACTCATCTCTTTGAATTTCAGTTTTTTTATTTGAGGACTACATCCATTTTGCAATGTTCATTTGAACAACCTTAGATTCAGAAGAACATATGAACCCTTGTGGTTTTGATCAAGCCATGTGGGCATGGGTTTGTTTGTGAATACAGCTCTTAATCTCCTCTTTGAGCACCCTTCAAAACTTTCTTGGTGCCTTATAAATATGTTACTGCTTTAGATCAAAGCAGCTAATTACCTAAGGGAGGAAGAACCGTGGAATGTGTGCACAGCAGTACTGCATATCTAGTTTTCTGGAATACTTCTGAGAATGACCCAAGAGCAGGAAGCAGTTCCCTGCCTCAAAGCGCTCAGGCAGTCCCAGCATTTTAAAAGCTATACTACACCTTAGAATCAGCTGGCAGGTTTGCAGAGCATAGTTCTGAACCCCACCTAAGCTTTCTGTTCAGCATGTCTACGGTGGGTTTTTATGCTCAGTGTCATGTAGCCGCACAGGAGAGCACACTCTGTAATCTATTATCTCCTTCATTAGAGGAACACTGCTTCCCATCAACATTTAGACAGTCAGTAGATAGTATGCTGGGTAACATCATTAGCCAGACAAAAACTTGAGTATACCTTCTGTAAATCGATGTATTGCAGTAGAATGCACTTATGCAACTATTATAATTAAGTTTCATAGGAGGCCAACATTTGTTGATGTAATCCTCCCCCTCCTGTATGATATTTAAGGCATCTCTAATTTTGCAAAGACTATTGAAATGCTCCAATCATAGTGGCTAAGAGAGTGACATTTCATGAGATCCCAAGAACTATGAAATAGTTGAGAAGAAATTATTATCCTTGTTCCTACTTCATTTAATGCTGTAGACGTAAATTTTTAGAGTGAAGTGACTAACTCTGCTACCTACCTCATGTAGTCTTTCACAGTCATTTGAACCATTCCTTGTTCATGCAAAGAAGCTGCAATTACAAAGAAAAGATAGGGGTAAACATCGTCATCCATGTGTGAAGGTTTCCTACCCTCAGGTGAGCCTTTGTGGGAAGGGATTCTGAAGTCCATGGCTGTTACCTGGCACCGTGTCTCTACAATGAACACTATACAGTGCACCAAATGCTAAATAGTATGAGAGGTAGTGACACTCAGTGTGGGAATGGGGCACTGGGGTCAGCAACAAACGGGACACTTAGCAAAGGTTGTATGACAAAGGGACATTTGGATTTTGAAGTGTGGTTGAAATTTGCTGGATAAAGGGGTAGCATTGTTAGAGATAATACAAATGGTATCTGCAACATTCTGGGGATATTTTCTCAGGATTATTAGTATCTAGGGGTGCTCTGTCAAGATCATAGACAGAATGGTAAGGCCAAGTATGAAATATTCAACAGGTGACAAGCTTGACCATTCATCGGTATCATCTAGTGCTTTAAGTAGCCTTCCAGTTTAGGCCCTATTCTTGTTTTTCAACTGAATGAATGGAAACTTTGACATGATTCCATGGCCATGACCCCACAGTCAGGTGTAGCAAAATTAAGAATTTTATTTATTTATTTAATACACTTTTTTATTATATATTTAAATTAAAAAACAAACTTGCTTCCCATGTCAGTCCCAGGTCCCTCTCCCTCCCCTCCATGCCCACTCCCTCCCCCAGCCCAGCCAGACCCCCACCCAATCCCCACCTCATTCTCCAGGGAGGGTAAGCTCCTCCATGGGAGATCTCTAGAGTCTGTCATTTCATTCTGGGGAGGGCCCAGGCCCTCCCTAAAGTGTCCAAATTGAGAAAGCATCCCTCATTGTGGGATGGGTCCCTAAAGTCCATTTGTGTGCCAGGGATAAATATTGATCTACTACCCAAAAACCCTATAGATTGCCTGAGTCTCCTCACTGACAGACACCCACATTCAGGGGGTCTGGATCAGTCCCATGCTGGCCTCTCAGGCTGTGGTCCAAGATCTCCCCCTTGTTCAGGTCAGCTGTTTCTCTGGGATTCACCAGCCCAGTCTTGACCCCTTTGCTCATCTCTCCTCCCTCTCTGTCACTGAGTTCCAGGAGTTCACCTCAGTGTTTAGTCTGCCTCTGCTTCTACCAGTCACTGGATGGAGGTTCTAGGATGGTATGTAACATAGTCGTCAAAATCATTATTAGGGAGGGTCATTTAAAGTAGTCTCTCCACTACTGCTTAGTTTGCCAGTTGATGTCATCCTTGTACATCTCTGGAGTTCTCATTAGTGCCAGATCTCCCCTCAAACCTAGAATGAGTCCCTCTATTATGGTATTTCTCGTCCTGCTCTCCTCTATTCTTTCTCCAGTTCAACATTCCTGCTCCCCCATGTCCTCCTCTCCCTTCCTCTTGTCTCCCTCTCTTTTTTCCTGGCTTCCTTTTGCCCCCACCCTGTACTCCCAATCTGCTCAGGAGATCTGGCCTCATCCCACCTTCTCTGGGGTACCATGTATATCTCTCTTAGGGTCCTTCCTGTTTCCTTGCCTCTCTGGCAGTGGGATTGTAGGCTGGCATTCCCATGATTCATGTCTAAAACCCATATATGAGTGAGTACATACCATGTTTGTCTTTTTGTGACTGGGTTACCTCACTCAAAAATTAAGAAATTTATTACTATCTTTATTATTGATTACAGCAATAACAGCATTTATTTTGCACTAATTTTCTGTGAGGTACCATGCTCAATCTGCCATTTTACAAATTTCCTTTATTTTTTAGATGTATTTGCTTAATTCTATGTGCCTGTTTGCCTGCAAATAATATGCGCAATGCATTTGAGGAGTCCAGAAGACAGCATCAGATGTCCTGGAAGTAGAGTTATGAATGGTTTTAAGCTACCATGTGGATGATGGGATCTGAATCCAGATCATCTGCAAATTCTGCCACACGTTTCCTTAACTGTGAAGTCATCTTTCCAGACCCTATACAATCTTCTTTGTTCTCATATTAAGTCCTTGAAATGGGGCTTGTTATTTCACACTGAAAAGGGAATGAAAGAAGACAGCGCAGTTACATAAACTCATGGCCAGTAAAATGCCACAGCTTATTTTGGTTTGCTGTTGTTGTTGTTTTGTTGTTTTTCTTTTCCAAACACCACACTGCCAACAGAATGTCCCATGGTGTATTTGAAAGCCAAAAAGAAGAATTTACATTTATGCATCAGGATATGAAAATCCATTGTTTGGAGCAAAACATCCTACATGATAATGATGATTCTAAAGGATCCAGTTGCCTGCTAGATGCAAGAAGGAGATGCTGGGCACAAAATAACTGTTGGACATCATAGAGGACACTTGGAGGCCACTGCATTGTTCACACAGACTGTCACAACATACCATGTCAACATCATCTACAAAAAGAAATATTCAGATCATGGGCAAGTTTATCAGAATTTCCACCAGACTTGTCACTCCTGGCTGCCCTGTTACACCAAGAGACATGTGTAAACTTAGGTGCTGCCACCTATACTGTGAGAAACAAGGTTTTCCTCCACAAGAAAGAAAACGGGTCAAAGTTTGAATGAGAAAACCTGACTGAGGGAAGCACAGGGAAGAGGCATTACAAAGGGCTTTAGTTTGGAGCCAGAATTACTAGGTAGTGAGTCACTGAATGACAGCACAGTTTCTAGGAACTTGACTGTGGGTTTCAAGTTTGGGCACTGGAGATAAGAATACTCATATTTTTCAACAAACAGTCCTGACATAACTAGATGTCTGCACGTAGAAAAAGGCAAATAGATCCATATCTATCACCCTATACAAAACTCAAGTCCAAGTGAATCAAAGACCTTGTTGAAAAAACAGATAAGTTGAACCAGGCAGAAGAGAAAGCAGGGAATAACATAGAATACATTGACACAGGAGACAACTTCCTGAACAGAACTCAGATAGCACAAGCACTAAGAACAACAATCAATACATGGGACCTCACGAAGCCGAAAAGCTTCTACAAGGCAAAGGACACTGTCAAAGCAAAAAAAAAAAAAACTTCAGACTAGAAAAGCCATTGAGTGTTGAGATTTTAGTGGGAGCTTGGAAGATAAGAATGTATAGAATAGTGCAGAGGATAGAGACTTGGCTTGTGAAATTTCTGATGGAATTTTGAATAATTTATCGGGAACTTTTTCTTACTTTGAAAGATTCTGATGTTCTGGTCAGATGGGGTTGAAGAGTCAGTCATAACTAACAAGAGACCAGCACCACTGAAGTGAAATCTTTGTGTTACTGGGACAATTGATACTGGTTGGGTAGAACTAAGAAATTATTGGTGATTGAGGAGAGACCAGCATCACTGAGGTGAAATCTTCTAAGAATTGTTTCCTGAGAAAACAGAGAAGCTATGTTCAGGAGTGCAAGCATCACCCAGGTGGTACTAGTTTTGATGGCATAAAGTGATCATGAAGAAAAGCTGAGGCTCCACACTGTGAGAGGCCAGGAAAGTCCACCAAGGAAGGAACAGCCTCTGTGGCAGTAGAAGGTCCAGGATTGAAGGGCACAAGCAGAGAAGTTAAAGCTTGGCACCTTAAAAAAGAACCTATGAGGTATGTTGGGGAAAATGCAGCCCGGTTGCCACAAGGGACCCCAGCAATTTTGGAGATGCCAATATCTTGGGATGACCACCATGATAATCAGCCACTGTGGCATGGAGCCAGCCTGTGCCTAGAAGAAAAGGTGTGTGTCCTGCAGAGGGCAGAACCAGAGAAGTAACTCAATCCCTTTGGAGAAGTGCAGAAGATTTTTGAATGGATCCAAGACATTGGTTGGAATTTGGTTTTGCTTTGATTGGTGACTACGCCATGGTTTCTCACTCTTGAAGTAAGAAAGTATTTTACTGTAGCACACAGTAGAGAGACTTTGAATTTTAAAAGACTTTAGGTCTTAAATGAGATTGGCTATTTCAAAGGGACTGAGATTTTAATGTGTTTGAATTTGTAAACACCATGGGAGTTTTAACAGTTATTTATATTTTTAATGTGAGATCTTGGGGGCGAACATGAAAGGAAGGGTGTGGATTAACAGTGATATGTTTGTGTGTCAAATTTACAAGAGGTCAGTTTTACTAGCTCGTTTTTTATATCAACTTGACAAAAGCTGGAATCATCAGAGAGAAAGGAGTCTCAGTTGAGGAAATGCCTCCATGTGGTCCAGCTATAATGCATTCTCTCAATTAGTGATTGAGGAGGAGAGCCCAGCCCATGGTAGGTGGTTCCATCCCTGGGCTGGTGGTCCTTGGTTCTATAAGAAAGCAGGCAATGTAAGCTATGGGGAGCAAGCCAGTAAGCAGCATCCCTCTGTTGGGAGATGTCATTCTGTAAATATGTGTCTGATTGGTTTGAATAAAGCACTGTTGGCCAATAGGGAAACAAGATAGGTGGAACTAGGAGTCTAGGAGGATTCTGGCAATTTTAGTGAGGAGAGCTCTCACCATGTGATCTCCCAGTAGTCCTCAAAAAGGTAAGTACATTAGCAATTATAGGTTAATAATCAAGTCAGAGCTAGTCGATAAGAAACCGTGCAAACGGCCAACAGCTTCATAATTAATATAGTGCCGAAAGAAGCAACAGAAACCAGGCAGCCAGCAGGAAAAGTAAACGTTACACCCCTCCATGACCTCTGTATCAGCTTCTGCCTCTAGGTTCTTGTCCTGTTTGAGTTCCTGTCCTGACTTCCTTCAGTGTTGAACAGCAATGATGAAGTGTAAGCCTAATAAACCCTTTCCTTCCCAACTTTTGTTTTCCTCATGGTGTTTCACAGTAGCGATAGAAAGCCTAACTAAGACAAGATCTAAACAGAGAATTCTCAACAGAAAGACCCCAATTGGCTCAGGAACACTTAAAGAAATGTTCAACATCCTTAGCCATTAGGGAAATGCAGATCAAAATGACTTTGAGGTTCTATCTTACACCTGGCAGAACAGCTAAAATGAAAAAACAAAAAACAAATTGCAGATCATGCTGGT